GATCACCACCGGCTCGCATGCTGTCACTCCAGCGGTGGCTCCGAAGGTGCCCCGGCGCTCCCCAGGCAGCGGCTGCTTTTCCGAGCCTTTACGACGCATATTCCGTGTCGTCATATCTCTATAGTGTGCATCGCCCTCGTTGGCCGCCAGATTATCTGATATTTCCCGTCTCCCACGTAGCTAAGTTCTTAATTGCAGTAGGGCTCGAGTTTGGGAGACCATGAATTATTAATATAATTGTTATTATTAATTATTATTATTATTATTATTTTAATTTGGAGATGCATTTTTCTTAGAGTTTGGCACTGTATTATTGCAGGATTCGGAGAAATCCGATATATCTGACGTTGCTTTAGAGTGGTTGCGTTACCTGTGATATCTGTCACTGGATTGTTTGCGAAATGCATAACGCACAAGGCAACGCACAAGTGATTTATCCAGTACTCTGAGGAAGTAGACTAAAAATCTTGCTCTCTTTCTGACAAGATTTACTTTCGGAAATGTTAAATGTTCTACGTCAATGTTTGTATTTTCTCTGTTTTCAAATAAAAACAATTATTTTATTTTGTTTTATGTTTATAATAAGAAACTAAAGAAACAACTCAGAATACCCGGGAGGGAGTTCTAAAGAGGCGCTAAATATATTGTGGCGTCATACGGGTGTAATCAGAACACAGGCGAGAGTGGTTTGTAAAAACAATAGATTTATTCACAATCTAGACCGTAGTTACAATTAAACCATTACACTGCGTACAATTAACTAAATAAACAGAACCCACTGCTAGGAGAGAGAATTTACGGAACGGCTACCACACCGCAACATACGAACAATGTTCCCTGTGCGGAGCACCACTCAACCTTGAGACCATCTACATGTGTCGCTAGTCACGACAATAAATTCCGCCCTTCTCGTGGTCTTATATAGTCCTCGGTGCTACCTGCCGCCCCCAATCCTCCACCCTACCGCCGCCTTACCACGCCACGTCACGGAAAGTCCCAGTGTGTCATCACTCCGCCTTTGTTAAACATCCGGTGTGCCCGCCGACTGCTACGTGCTTGTTCTCAGTGTTTTAACGCGAAACGACGCTACAATATCTCGGAATACGCGATCGCTCGCGTGTGAACAATATCTACGCCAGGACATGCCGCATTCAACCGCGTGTAGTCAGTTCCTTTTGTAGAACTGATAAAAATGGCAAACGTATGCAGGCATTGCGAGTGTGTTACCTCCATTGCATTTGAGATCCACGCTTTGAAATAAAACAGAATTGTTCTAACATTGCGGGTATCTGAGGTTTAAGACTTATCGGATAACATTTAAATTTTATGTATGTTGATTCTTCCACGTTAGTTCGTTTTTTGTTTATTTTTTACATAAAAATAAAGATTTATAATGTTTTGGTATTTTTGATCTTGCTCACGTTTGGTGAATTTTTTTAAAAATCTCCAAACCGGTGTGGGCGGTCTAAACACCGCCGCGCGACCTGGTGGTTAGGAACAAATGCGCGCGCGGTGGAGGGTCGAGGTCTATTATTTTTATCTCCACACTTCGTAATGCATATTTTTAATTTCATGTACAAGCGATCGATTTTGTAACCATATACAAGCGATCGGTTTTGTTCTTCGGAATTCAAATATTCGCCTTGTTCGCGAAAGCGAATGTGAGTACTTTTCGCATAACGTCGACAGGACAAATGTAGGATCTAATTTAGTGGACATTATGGCAATGTATGTATGGCAACGTCCGTAGAATGGATAAAAATATCTACGCAGACTGAGAACCGAACTCGCCATTTCTCTGGTTCTGGACCAACATTTTGACACTGAGCTGTCTTCTACCTGCACTATCTATGTGACTATCTACATGTTTTATATTATCAAAACTTGAAAGCAACGTTACGTATACAAAAATTAATGTCGATTCAATTTCATGGCCAGGCATCACAGAATTATTTTTCCCCTTTACTACTACCATTTATCCCTCAATAGATGTTAAATTATCGAATCAAACAAATTCCATCGTCATAGTGCGGTCTAGAGAATGTAATTGTGAAAAACGTCATTAGGGAGCGCTGCCGGCAGAAGTGTTCATAGACATCAACCTCTTGAACCAATTCATTTTTAACATGAAATCTAATGTTCCCCCGCTGTACATCGAAATAGAGATGTCCAGAATTACGTAACAACGTCTAGCGGGAAAGTGTTGGATGGCAACCTTTGCTGTAGCGTAAGCATTTCCTACAGAATAAGTACGTTTTTGACTATTATGCGGTTGCCAAGGTACGCGTTTCATCTCACATTTGTCACGAAAGTTTTCAAATATTTGTTTCTATTTGTAGACAAATACTGTATCAGCTTTATCAGTACTTGAACTCGAGACAGTGAATTCAGTCGTTTGTTTACCAAAACTACTACGTTGCACTATTTTTAACCTGTTACAAAAAGGTGAAACATCTTTCTTCCCACTTCAGAGGGGTAAGCGTGGTAATGTTCGGATTTGCCATCCAGAAACCCGCACCGGCATCGCAAAGGTTTCAGCTGGACAATGAATACATTTCATTAACTATTTCGCACTCGCGATTGCAACTGCGACCTGTTCGAGAATCCACTGAAGACCTATTTTAATGGCTTCTCGTATTAAGAAACTGAAGATGAATTCACTTCGACTCCACTCATGAATCAAGTCCACGATTAACGCGACGCTTTCACTAAAACTAATTTTCAGTAGTTACTCTCTTTAAGAATATTGCGAAGTCCAAAAGCAACCTTTTCGTTCATATAGAGTATTCTTTATATTTAACTAATAAACTGAGCCTATGGATTTTCAAGCGTCGCGCTCGAAGGTTTTTCGAGGAAAGTGTAATGCAGAAAATTCAGTAAGTATGTAAAAAGTTTTATGTAAAAAGTTTGTAATTAAGATAAAACCTTATAACCAACAAATATTAATAAATAGTTTAAAAAAATCACGGTTTACAAGTGTTTGCAAGCCGATTCCAATATTAAAATAAGTATTATAAAACTTCAGTTGTTTTAATTCATTCTTACCTCATGCTCATTGTGACTACGTGAAACTTTCCATGCCTACGGTAGGTCAGTGACATACTTCTAAGTTAAGTGAGGTAAGTGTCTTGTGTCTTCCTTTTTTCGGGCAGGTCGTCACAATGGTGGTTTACTTCTGACTTCCATCAAATCACGACCACAAGTGCGCGATTCTAATAATGGGAGGAATGATGTGTAGACAGGCTATGGTGTGACAATCCAACCACGCTACAAGCATGGTGAAAATACCCATGCCACACGCGAGGCTCGGACCAGCAGACCAACTGCAATAGCTCAGCGGCAACACCGTTGCCTCTGCAGCACTCTTGTCCGAAAGTCGTAGGTTTCGTGGCGCGTGTTTTACTAATATATGGATGGATAGAATTCAGCTTCGTAGTCAAGAAGAAATGCTCTGATCGGTAGTTTTCTGTAGTTTCTCCAATCAACACTTGGGAATACTGGAGAAGAGCGCACTCTAACAAACGGACCGCAAACCGCGCGTGATATCTCTTTTCCCCTTGTTCCTCTCGCCGTAAGCCACGCACACACTTGCAAACATTTATGCGAAATGACACGCACGATATTAAACTTTGTGCATAAGAATTGCAATTCTGTTTTCCGAACGAAAACTCACCGAAACTAGCTGAACTACAACAGTACATTCTTTCTCGAACTGTTCCTAAATTTGACATTTTCGAAAATTCGGAGTACCTAACGAAAATGTGACATGCGCCATTCTTTTATATGTTCCTTAATAAAGCCGTGAAAAAAATTGAAGCAGGTTTTTGACAAAATGTTCTTTATAAATTGCATTAATTTCAAGCATAAATGGGATGGAAAAGACTAATTTTCTCCAAAAGTGGTACATGACTTTTTTAAAGATCCACTTTTTTAGACGAGATTTTGTTTAAGTCAACAATATCTTCAAATTTGTAGTTTTGAAATTCGCAATTTGCAATTTTTAAAAATACTGAGTTCCCAGGCTTGAGGTTAGCATCAATTTTTTCACCCTATTTTGTTAGGTAAACTTGGAGCCATATTTGAGAAATTAATAGCTAGTCTTAGGTACACGAAAGAAAACGTGCAATTTGTGATAAACGAAATCGAGGTATAACTCAACGAAAATTAGACCTGCACCAATTCCTACCGGCTCAGGTGTGATAATTCTTACAACTCACTACTTGCAGTGCTTAAGAAAGATGTGCGCATGGTGTCCTCGCCCATTTCCTTGTAGCTGGCCAGCTGTTGCTGCCAGCGTGCGAGCACTATTTCTCCTTGCGATGCGATTCTGTTCAACGCGCATCAATATAACCCCGTGGACGAGACACTATGGCCCACAGCACAACGTACAACGTAAATCATGATAACGCTTTCTAGCTTTCAACGCGCTCGCTACAAGCTCGCTAGGCGTCAGTGTTAACCCAACGCTCGTGTGACATCTTAGTGGCAGTTTCCATCATTGAAAGTTAATCAGTTTACAAAAATGTAGAAACCGTCAGTAGATAATCGCTTCATGGAAACACATTCGTAATCTGTCCTGCCTATAAACCTTTTGCTACCTTATTTTAGTATATCTATGTATATAACAATTGTGCAATCGCAGAAAACAAAGTTGAACTTGATATTAAAAAGGCCGTTGCGTTATCTAAAGTTAAGAAACAAAATAAAATGACTGCGACTGCAAAGCTGAATATCTTAACAAAACATTCGTTGTTAAAGATTGTAATATATTGCTAAATACATGCTTCATTACTTTAATATATGTTATTTCAATTATTTTGCAACTTCTTTGCAACGGATTTTCGGATACTGATATCGCATTGGCACGCGATTGGTAATTTAGAGAAACATTTTCTGGAGATTTAGTATAGTAATAAAACCGCTGCGGGCTAATGTTACCAACCTTTTAGCTGAAAACATTCTTAAGATATTGAAGGATTTTGGAAGAAGTAGAACCTTTTTACAACTGATACAAAACAATTTATTATAATCTTGTCAATATAATTTCACATTTTATGACGTGAAAGTTTAATGACTAGAGCATTATCACAATGGCACGTAATTATAAAATATGGACATTAATTAGGACATTAATCTTACATTTCTCAAAAACAAGATGCTAAATTGTCCGTAGTCAAGAGCATTAAAAACGTTTATTCTAAAATATACGTCAACTTCATTTGAGTAGTAAAATACATATTTTAAGATTTCAAATTGAATCGTGTTCTATTCGCACTAAATATCGTGACTGAAACGACATTAAGAACATTTATTTCATGTTGTCAGTAATTTAAGAGGTATGCAAACACGTGTACCTAATGTATGTAATACACGCTTAGTCAGAATTCAGGAGCGATGCATGGACCTCATCTCCTGGGAATCGTCAGCAGTGCACACACATCCCGCTCAAAGGAGGATGTTTTTCCTCTTCCTGAGCCAGTGCTGCATCCTGCGCGCATTGAAAGTGCGCGCCCACCACTTCCTGGCGAGCACCTTGGCGGAGACGCTCATGTCGGCGCCCATCTCGGGCTCGTGCAGGCTGGCCACCACCAGGGCGGCCGCCAGCTGCTCGTCCCGCGCGCTGGCCGCGGGCGGCGGCGACGGCGACGGCGTCGGCCGGCCAGAGCCCTCCGCCTCCCGGGACAGCATGCGCGAGGGCCTGCGCAACGCCACACACCTGCGCTCACACGCCGTTCGCAAATTCTTATTAACGCAACTAGAACGGAAAGCATCTCGGGCGTACCAATGGAATGTTAACGGACGAGGTGACGACAGGAGCAGAGTTCCACGTTTTGAAACGAGTACACGAAAGCGTTTCGCATGAGTTGCTTATATTATTTTCTTAAATGAATTTATGGTAAAATACAAGAATAGTGGCCTTCAATTATTCCCTGCACGAAGCGGTAGCGAAGTTGATTCCCGTAGCCTATTTCCTTTACCTAGCAGTAGCGGAACAATTTTATATGACCATGACTTTGCAGTACTGTTATTTCATAGTATTTCCCTCGAATTAATCAATAGAATTTAACAACAAACCACCGATCACTATCTTAACTTAAACCGTCAGGAGTTGACTTGTGTCCAGTTGTTTTAAAATCAGGTTAGCAACAGTAGTTAACGCACAGTACACATTTGGGTGACGCATGTAAGCGATAATGAACAGGTAGATCCGGTCAATATTTTTTAAAAATCTGAATGGAGATTACTTTCCTTCCATTCAAATTGTTCAAAATGCAAAAGAATTGTTATACTCTACTTCTAAGCTGGTCTTATAATTCTCTAGCTGTGAATCCACAATTAACCAAACCTTGTTTAGCCTCCTCATTCTCTCGAAAAACCGCGCAGTTCATTCTCTATTGAACAGTAGTCATTAAAATGATTTCCCTAAACCCAGCACGCAGCCTTATATCATTTGAATAACTGAAAATAACAACAAAAAAAAGATTCATTCGAAAGAAATGCGAGTGACTTAGCCAAATTTTGTTTAATTTCAAACGCAAGAAAATTAAAGCCAAAATGGGGCCTACCGAGTGTTTGACCCTTCACGCCCGAAGTTGCTTATTTCAAAGAAAAGGAAATGACGAAAACTAGACTTCCGAAGAAGGCAATCCTCTCGCTTAGTGCCCGTGCCCGTATGATTAGAGTCTCCGCCCGCGTCAACGGATGAGGTCTTTAGTCTCTCACGTGTAATGTGCGTTTTATCGAGGGTGGCGGAGGGCATCTTCCCCCTTTGTATGGCGAGAAACGACGCCGACCTACACGTCTGCTTGCGGGGAGCTTCCACAGCCAGGTCTCTCCTACCAGCGAGGCACCGTCGCAGCCGGGACAAGCTCTAAGCCCCCGAGAAGAATGGTAGTGTCACAGTTAACAGCGAAGTGGGGAGGCACGGGGATCCGTATCGTGCGTGGATTTGCCGTACTTCGCGCAAATAGAGCTCGCAGCCATTTACCGCTGTTGGGTATGGCCGTATCTTCGACACTTGAAGCAACGCAAGAGGTTTGTCATTTACTGCGTCATGTGGCGATTATAAAACTCACAACTCCTCTGGAATAGATGGTGATTAATCAGATTGGGAGTAGGGATCTCTTTCCCATTCTACTTCTTGATCCTAAAAATATTCATTGCACCCTAACTCTTAAACAAAGAGGTCCCTCCTCACTTTCTGACGCAACGTCACCGTGATTCACCACTCCTTTACATAGGTAAGGGTAGGGCGAGTGGTCCCTACACCTGGAGGTGGGCAATCTACCTAGATTTTGAAATCTGTACATCGGTGCGTGCTTCGAAGAGAATGGTACCATCCCTGTGACCCCTTGGAGCTTACAGAAACTGTCCTCAACGGCTCGCGCGAGACGAACCGCACCAATACTTTTCAATGTTTTCCCTTCTTCCGTGCACGTCATCAAAACAAAACAGCTTCTTTGGTTTATCTTCTTCCCTAACTAATAAACTAATAAAATCCACCGTCCTCTTAGAACTTAGCTATTTCCTTCCGGAAGAGGGCAAGGGGTTTCTTTTATGCTTCATATAATTGATGCGGATTCGTCTCCGTGCCACCACCACCACCACCACCACCACCACGGGGTTCAACAATGGGACCCCCCCCATGGGGTGTCCCCCGCTCACCCTGGAGTTCAGTACAATATCTAGTCCTACCCGACTGATCGGGAGTGGGTTAGCTTCACGTCTAGAAGAGTCCGAGGCCAAAGCAAGTGTATTGCAAACCTACAACGAATGTTTCCCAAAGTACGTAAACAACGTATCCCTAGGTGCAAAGAAGAAAGTAGCACAAGGGTAGTTGGGGAAACAAACGGGTCCCTCAACTGCTAGAGAAGGGGACCAAGGGGTAGAAGAAAAGAGACAGGATGTTTTAAAAGTGACGTTGACGTTGAGCGACCCACCTCGACGAGGATATATTCGTAATCAGCAAGCTCAAAAACCCCAACATACTCCTTTGTTTCATTCTTCCACATTTTTCCAAGTGTCACCCGCCATATGGAATTCGCCTTTTTTTATATATTCGTATTTTGAGATGTGAAAAACCCCCTATCAAACCCCTATATAGCCATTATTTTGCATTTTCTAAGATATATTGAATATTATTAATACGTTTTAGGCATTTCATCCCACTTTACCGTTGGGACTAACCCAGGGCCTCTCGGTGAGAGGCAAGGTTAATATCAGTATCTATTTAATTAATTCAAATAATAAAAGGCGCAGGTAAGCGCTCAAGGACGAAGAGAAAGAGGGGTGAAGTGATGATTAGGGGGCGTTGGCGTTTGAGCAACAGAAAAAAAGATCAGAATGAACGCTACCACATTCATGCGGAGCGGCGTAACGAGTTGGGAGCATCTGCTGATCTCCTGTTACTTGGAACGAGAAACCAATGCGTACTTGCATTTTAACTAATCTAACATTTTCTACAGCACAAAACAACAGATATTTCCCTCAATGCTTATTACTTTGTCGTCTACTACGTATGTAGTAGATTTATAAAATTCTGCTCCGAAAACTATGATTTTCCTCCAAAAAATGTTCCTTGGTCCCCGATACTAACAAAATTATTCTTGTTCCAATAGGTGTTAAATTATTTCCTCTAACGTGACTTTTCATCTCTTATGGAAAGGCAAGCGCAGTCTAACACTGCACATTTTGTTTGCGATGAATCTTTCTCGTTTTGCTGTTATTGATATTCAATACAAACTCATCCGTAACCGTCTTGTACCAATGCGTAGGGGGGGGGGGTCAACGACTGACCCCAGCGCAGTTTTATTCTTTCTTTGTTTAAATCAGCGGGTGTTTGTTGATCATTTAGAGCTTATTGTTAGAACCTTTCTTCACCCTAAGTGATATTCAGATATTTCATATCGCCGAAGAGGTGGCTCAGAGCATCAAATTCATCTGACCGGGACGTCCTATAGTTCCTAGAGTCCCGACGGTGGCAGATATTTCGACACTAGCTAGATAGGCAAATCAAATTCAGTTGCTGTCTAGAGAATTCTACCGGCCGGCTGCTCTGATCGGTAGTTGTCCGTGATTTCGGACACAACACCAGGCAACGGGCTACGCGCGCAATCTTTCCTTCCTCTTCCCTGTCCTATCCTCATTCCCTTACTTACACACGCCTACACTTCCACGCGCCACACTACCCTACATGCCTGGAGACCGTTCTGCCGGGGGCTTAGAGCTCGTTCCAGCAGTGGCGGTGCCCCGCTGGTTGGAGATATCTTGTTGGGAAAACCCCGCTAGCCGACAGGAAGATCTGAGGTGGATCTCACCATTTAGCGCGGTAAGATCATCTTCGCCTCCAACTCCAGGGAAAAAAACTGCGCTTCCCTTACGAGACTAATGACCTAAGCAGTTTACGTGCCCAGAATTACCAATCGACAATCTATTCTACACATCTTGAGTTTTGCAAAAGAATTCGAAAATTACCAAGCGTAATCTCTTTCTCCTACCGCCAGGTCTGCCCAAGAACCTTTAAATCTTCATATACTATCAGTCGATGTATATTATAGTTTTGCAGAAAATATTTTAACTTAAAACTAAAGTTTTCCTTTATGTTCAGAGGTGCGTATAGGATTTTTTCCCGCAGGGGGGAGGGGGGATGTCCAGGTGTAGAGAGGGGGGAGTGTCAAACCTGCGACTTCAGGTTTCTTAGAGGATTGTTCAGTGAAGTTGAACATAAAATGTACTTTTATTTGTTGACTTGTTAATATGAAGACCGACTCCCTGCGTCTCTGATTAAATTGCATTTATTCTGAGGTGCAGCCATAAAGACTTGGTGAGATAGTCAGCCACACTGATTTTTGCTCGTTCTGCCCAGCGCTAGTTTACGTCACCACACCTCACCACACCACGAGCACTTCGCTTAAAAAGGCCTACCAACGCTGGCCGCCATGTTGCAAGGAGAGAGAGAGAGACCAGATGAAACATTTTAAAAGTGGCATAAAGTGACAATTTTCAACGAAATATAACATTAATGTGTAGTTGAAATAAAACACGAAACCAGTTAACAAAATATTGCGTATTTCTACTTCAATAACTTGTAACGTGGCGGTAATTTTGGTACCTGGCTACATTTAAAATTCCCTCTAATATTGAGAAACTGGTACCTGAAGCTCCTTGAAGTCTAATTCGATGCCCAATACGTCTCCCATGTCTCTTCACCCCCTCTCCGGTATTGGTCCACGCACATGTGTTTTAGGCATAATTCGTGTTGGGCAGAACAAGCAAAAATCGGCGCGCCTGACTATCTCACCAAGTCTTTATGGCTGCACCTTAGAATTAATGCAATTTAATCAGAGGTGCAAGGAGTGTGTCTTCATGTTAACAAGTCATCAAATAAAAATAAGTGATCTGGGCTGTCCGGGTGATGCCGCGTCCAAGGCTGAGGTGCCGACGTTTCGACCGACATATCGCGGTCCTCTTCAGGGCTGCACTGGGCAAGGATATTGGGCGCTCTGGATTATATAGAGGTGGCCAAAGAGCGCCCAACATCCTTGCCCAGTGCAGCCCTGAAGAGGACCGCGATATGTCGGTCGAAACGTCGGCACCTCAGCCACTGACGCGGCGTCACCCTGACAGCCCAGATCATGACCGGCCGCGGAAGCCTTCGACATCAAATAAAAATAAGTTTCATGTTCGACTTGAATGAAGAAACGCGAAGTGTTGGGCCCTCCCCCTGCGGGTAGACGAGTGGCCGGGGAGCGAAGTGGGCTCGTGCGGTGCGCACCAGGCGTCGACGACGGCGCCGGCCGCGACCAGCTGCTCCGCGACGGCCACGTGACCGGCGACGGAGGCGCTGTGCAGCGGCGTGCGCCCGCGCTCGTCGGGCAGGCTGGGGTCGGCGCCGGCGGCCAGCAGCACGCCCACCACGTCGCCGAAGCCCGCGGCGGCCGCGCAGTGCAGCACGGAGCGCTTGTGGCAGCAGCGCTCGTTGGGGTCGGCGCCCGCCGCCAGCAGCTCGCCCACCACCTCCGCGTCGCCCGCCAGCGCCGCCATCCGCAGCGCCGACAGCGCCGACCTCGGCGGGCACCCGTGCGAAGCGGTTACTTCCGCCACTGCCAACAAGTCAGCACCTTTTCATCACCCGGTTATTTAGCTCTTCTGAACGAGGCTGAAGTGTAGTATACGGTGCAACCTAAGGATGTTTAAACCGGCACTTCGCGCCGCTCCGGCGTTAACTAGGCAATTAGAATTCTGTAGGCTTTCTTGAGAACCGATTTCTTATAAAAGTGAATTGGTAATCATGCGGTGGATAGACTCCTAGATGTTCATAGTGAACGCGAGGGTCGAAGGCCCGAGCCTCGCCGTGACGGATCCAGGCGAGCGAAGCGAGAAAACTTGCCTTGAAAGTAAATTGGCATTACAATGTAGTGGACACACGGCTTATGAAGGGCAAGCCATGAAAATCGCCTATTCGTAAGCTTTATTCATTTCTAGTAGAGTACGTACAGTAATTAGGGCTTAAGCCCCACTGCCAAGCTTCTCTAAGGGTGTACTAAACTTTAAACCTTAACGATAATATTGCTACGCATTTCCTGCAAAATGCATGAGGAAATAGTTCTTTCCAATAAGCTCAAACAACATTTTCTCAAAAATGGCTCCAAAGTCTTCCTTCAAACTTTTCCAACAAATAGTCCTGATTGTTCTGTTTAATATTATAAAAAGTTAATTTTGCTGTATTCTTTTGTTTTCAACTATTACACAAATGTAAATTTTTTGAAAGATATTTCACGCCGTTGATATGCACATTTCCAGCAATTTGTAAACGCTATTTTACTTGTAAGTAAAAGTACTTAAAATTACTTTAAGTTTTTCGACAACTCCAGAATTTTCTGTGAAAAAGAGCTTCAAATTTCGAATTTACAGTAGCGCTTAAACGCGTTGTTTATAAACGGCTCTCAACCTTTTCAAAGAAAATTGTCATTTAGGACGAGGTTTTACAGTTCTTTAATAATGTTAAAATAGTATATCCGCTCTACAATTAGGAAACCCAAAAACTAAAAAAAATGTCAAAACAAATGTACTTTGGGCGGTTATACGCTGCATCAGGCAAGAAGGGGTGGCAAGTTCGAATAGCTAACCGAAACCAAAGGAAAGAAAACTGAAAAGTCGTGTAGCACCACTAGTTAACATTTGAATTTTGAAAATAAGTGCTTTGATTTTCAAAACAAATCTATCATAGTTTAAATATGTATTGAGGGAAAATATTTTCCACATAGTTTGATTAGAAATCTGAATTTCTCAAATTTGAGGATAGCGGCTTCCTACTACCAACTGACACCTTTTTTACTCCAATAATTTATATTTTTTTAATTTTCTGAATCTCACGTTTGTCTTTCAGTCTTGGATATAGTTATACTACCTCTTAATTTTGAATACTGCGTGAAGTGATAGGGCGTTGATGGGTGAAAGGAGGGGAGGATAGGATGATCGTGTGGTGGCCTTTTTGGACCATCCAAGCATTCGCTTTACGACCGGGGGAAAGCATGTGGGAAGTTAATATAATTGATAAAAACATAATATCAACCCTTGAAATCACAAATTCAAGATAGCGCGAAGTTTAAAGTAAATAAGGGGTACATTATTACAGAGTCGTTTGGACGTGCGGATATATTGTAATGTTTCCATAGGGACAGGGAATGTGTTCATTACATTTCCATGAACATTTAGTTCCCTTAAATGTAGTGAATGTAGCTATAATAAATTGAACATGGTTTTTCCTGTATATTGCTTGCATAGTTTACAACGCTATCGCCCGAGACGTCGCTTCTTCGCTTCTCAAGACGCGAAGAGGAACTTTCTCTAACCTGCGAATCATTACACCGCGAGTGCCCAGCCTCCGCGAACTTACGGCGCTCAAGAACGCAACGCTCGAGAGAGTGCGAGGAAGCTTATGGAACGCCACACTGCACCATCAAGTACACACACTATTTGATTCTACCCCAGACAAATTAACAAGCAGCAAGAAGAATTTTGAAGGATGAAGCAAGAACTTTTTTAGAAGATAACATTATATTTTACGAAACAAATTAGAATGCAAAATTCAAAGGAAACTTACGTTGGATACAGAAGCCACAGCGCTCGCACTTTGTATGTGTATACAACAGCGCAGGGATCAGCGAGGGTGAGTTGGTGGCCGGGGGGAGTGTCTCTCTAGAAGCAGCCCTGGAAATTACAACGGCCGATGAACGCTGGGCAGAAGTGCCGGCCTTCGGAAGTGCACCGGTCGATGAACGCTGGGCAGAAGTGCCGGCCCTGGGAACTGCACCGGTCGATGAAGGCTGCGCTGAAGTGCTGAGATTGGCACCTGCAGAGTCTGATGAAGCCTTGTTGCCCGGCTTCGAACGGCCATTGGCCGAAGTGCCTGGCGCTTTAATGCTGTACTTACAGTCTTCATGGTCGGGGTCGTCATAAGCACCTAGTGCAGGTTGTGTTGCCCCCTCATCGCCCGAACTCATGATTTGCTCTGCGAAACCAATAATTAGAGGTATAATCTTTCATTTTTACTGCCATACTATGACCTATTAGGGGAGGGAGTTCTGTTGAATGCATAACTTACAACAGAATATAAGAATATAGTTCATAAAAAGGATTTGTAGTAGCAAAAGCGGTTAACGTGTTAAGCGGCCGGAAGGTTCTACACATTTCCAAACTAGGTGCCGTTTTAGCCTCAGGAGGACATTTGCGTACAGGAAAAAACAGACGCTAGAACTGCACTTCCCTCAGATTGGTTAAGATAATTGCATTGCAGTAACAATTTAGGGGGGGGAATTAAAGTGATGCTGAAAAACATTTGTCATTATTAATCAACAATTACAAAATTTCAAGGAATGAGACTACCAAACCACGACATGAAACTATGACATACGTTTTAATTTCAACTTCTTTACCATTGTGGTTACCTAGTTTATTTCCGTGTATTAAATTTAAGGTTTCTCGCCTTTCCAGACCCCGCACGATCGCCCATCTGCCTGTGCCTACCCCCCGACACTGACCACGCTTCGGAACAGGCCAGAGCGGGTCCTTTCACCCGCTCGGATTTGTATTCCATGTTTTAGATGTTGCTCGCGCCCTAACGTAACTTCCTTGTATGAGCGCGCATATAACGTCATGAGTTTCATAATTTTTTTTTTAATGATAAAATCTTTGTGATTGTTCTGGAGAGTTGGAGTTGTTCATTGTTCCGATTTACTTAAGTTTCTGATAATTTTACATTTTTAACAAAAAAAATTCAGTAACAAATTATAAGTTCACAGTTTTATTTTTTCTGCAAAAACACTGCCAATATCTGAGGGTGAAATAACATCTTATGTCGTCAAAAAGCAGTCAATGATCAGAAATGATGCAACAAGTCAAACTTTGTACCGCTAACTCGATGGATATGAACTAGCTACCTACTAGTCATCTTTCAAATTTGCGAAAGCAAAAGTTTACAGCAATTCTTGAGCTATTAAAAATAGTTTTGACTGAAGTCTAGAATACGGTACAACTTAAGGAAGTTGTTTAAACCGGCACTTAACACCGCTCCGGCGGTAACTACGCAGTTTGAAATCTTGAAAAGTGTTTTCTTATAAATGTGAATTGGTAATTATGCGGTGGATGGACTCCAGGATGTTCATAGTGAACGCGAGGGCCGAAGGCCCGACCCTCGCCGTGGTTTGAATTCAGACGAGCGAAGCGACAAAACGTGCCTCGGAAAGTAAATTGGCAATATAAGGCAGCGGGGACACAGCTTATGAAGGGCGAGCCATGAAAATCTCTTATTCTTAAGCTTTATTCATTTCTATCAGAGCGCACAGCGTAATTTGAAGGAAGGCTTAAGGAGACCCCCCTCCCCCCGCTTCTCTGATGATGTACCGTGAACCCTACTTTAACCAATAGTTTTAAATACGAAAATACTTTATTTACATAAACGTACCTTCACGATTGATAAACACGTATACGAGATGTATACGAGTCGTATAAGACTCCCCTGTAAACAACTATTCTGAAAATATCCTAAACGTACCCAGATTTACTACCGCGTAAAAACGTTTATTGATAATAAAGTAGTTGAATAATAATAATAATAATAATAATAATAAGAAGAAGAAGAAGAAGAAGAAGAAGAAGAAGAAGAAGTAACAATTTCATTTGTATTATGAATTATCAACAATGAAATGGTGCCAAATGAAGTGAAATGAAGAGCGATGTCTTACCTCCGTTTCCCCCGAGCCAGTGACGGCCAGGGCCGGAGCTGCCGTCGACGCGTTGAGCTGAACCGAAGTGCGAGGTTAGTTCTAGAGGTGTGAAGAGGAGGGGAAGGGGGGGGGCAATGGTCTCACGTCTGATTGGTCATATTAGGCACAAGCAGGGCTGGGGTATATTTGAATGGGCGAACACCAGAGCGGGGTAAGAAACATTTTATAAATTCTGAGAAAAAAATCTGTTTATTTTAAGCAATGTATTTATTTACTTATTTATTTATATTTACAAAGCCAGCGGGATACCCCCAATGATAGGCTTATATTTAACAAAGATCAAATCATTTAAGAAAGCAATATCAAGTAAAAATAACAGTAACTAGTTACAATAAATGTGGTTTTAATTATGAAACAACTTGACAGTAATACTGACTTAAAATGTCACTTATACCATTCTCGTTTTCATCCATTCATATGGAATGACGTTTACCTAAATAAGCACATACATGAGAACGAAAAGAGTTCAAAATATATAATCAAAAATTGAAAAATGTTTAAAAGAGTTAAAGTAATGTATTACTCAAATATTTAATTTACTTGTATAAAAGGTTTTAAAAACTCAGTTTTAGTATTATCTGCAGAACACGATTTAATCGTATACCAAAATAGACCGAACATAACTGTTGTTGAAAGAACAGTTCCTCAATCGTTTTCTAGTAATTCGTCATTTACAGAGCAGTGAATTATGACACTGTTTTAAATGTTCAAATGTGTTCCCCTGTCGCTTAATATTGATTTGTTCCGGTTAAAATATCACTAAACATTTAGATTTATTTAATCAAAAAACAGTAAAAAGTGTATGTGTCGTATGGGGAGAAGATCTGCACACGTTTTCTTGAGTTCCAGAATCCCTTCCCATCATTTTAACTATAAATAGTTAAAATATGAGCAAACGTTAAAAGTAAATAAATAAAAATAAAATTTAAAAAAGCGTGAGATTTGTAATATTTGGAAAAAACTAGACATTTTCGTTCCCAAGTTGTAGAAAACGTATTTGTACCGGTAAACGAATTGCAAATATGATTTTTCTGCATTGCTAACAAAATACCTTGCCGTTACCTCTACCCCTACCACTACAAGCAAAAGGAGAGTTCAACAAAACGTGTGCATAGTGAAGTTACTTTTACGTCCTAAAGCAAAACAAGGGGCCATCTCAGCATTTGATGTGTTGATTAAACGTGGCAACTGATTGAAAGCATTGATGTAATATAGAAAATTCCACAAAAAGAATATACGTGAGTATATGTAAACTATTTTTATTTTAGATTTGTTTATTATTTTCTGTTATAATGTGAAAGAAGTTTGGGGGCGAAAACCTCTCCAGAAATAAGATTTAAATATGTTGTAGTGAGTACGGAAGCAAGGGTATTTCCAGGCTGGAGGAAGGTAGAGAGACGCGTGGTAGGGCGGAGGGAAGATAGAAAATAGAAGTATAGGGCGGAAATAGATTGAATTTCTCTTTCTATTTAATAAAAAAATGTTATGATAATGATGATGATGTTAATGTTAATTGTTTTGATGATAATGTTATGATATAATTATGATGATGATCCAATCACGTGGGACTTTCAGCAAGTGTCACATATAACCTCATCTTCACGTGCATAAAATACTTTTTTCAATCTATTGTATGTGTTTTCACGACGTTTTTATAAAGGAAATTGGCGCGCGAGTTGGAAAATAAAATGTGAGCGCCATTTTAGCTTTCGTTTCGTCGGTCTTACTCAACGAGCTAGAATATACTAAAGTATATTCTGCCTCGTTGATCGTTCTAAAAAACTGCTTAGGGTTGTATTAGACAAATATAATTTCTCAGGTATTTTTGGTTCGTTTAGATAAATTTCTCGTGAAAGTAGAATGCTGATAAAGATTACTACTATTTTTGAGAAATAAACAAGGCAAGTGCAAACTAATTCACAGAAATTTTTTTCTTGTGATTACATTTTCCTGCTATTCGAACTTTATTTTGATAACTGATTTTATAAGAATGATTGCATATCCTTATTTACAGATGGCTCCTAAGTGCTGTGTCCCGAAATGTTCAAGCAATTATGCATCATCGTATCAGCAGGAAGGACGTGTTTCTGTATTCAAATTTCCATCAACACCTGGATTAAAAAGGAATAAGAAATATTCCACGTGCAAACAAACATCATCTGTTGTGTGGGTGATCTGGGCTGTCCGGGTGACGCCGCGTCGAAGGCTGAGTTGCCGACGTTTCGACCATCCTGTCGTTGGTCTTCCTCAGGCTCGTATGCGCCGTGATTTTTTCAGTTTTCCCCCCTCCAGTTTCCCTGGAGAGGCAGGAATTTATTTATCTTTGGGGGTACATTATGAATAACTGCAGCCGATTTGGCTTGTGCAGTTAGGGAAGGCTTAATTGCTTACAAACTAAAACTATTCTATAACTATAACCTATTACACATTCCCACTTTGGGGTTTGTTAGTTTTTAGGCTTTTTTTTATTAAATCTTTAATTGGGAGATCTTGAAATTGTTCAATTTTCTTCTTGTTATTTTTTTTTCTCACTCGCATTCATTCAATTTAATAATTATATTTACAAACGCATCCATTCATTCATCATACAAACACAACACTTCACAACACTATATACACTTTTAAAGCACGCCACCGGCGCCGACTTCAATCAAGCGTCCGTGCGCCGCGACGTCTTCGGTCCCCAGCGACGCTGCCCAGCGGAGCGCGTATCCGCGCCGCCCACGCCAGTTTCCGGCATCCGTGAGCGGCGATCCCAGTCACGCACTTGCTGCTCCCCCGCGTCGGCAGAGCTCAGAGAGCTTGTGCGGGGGCAGTGCGCGGAAGGTGAAGGCGACGTGCTGTGGGCCCTTTCTTCTGTGAAAGGCCCTGTGCACGCCGCTGTTCGCCGCCTTGCCGCGTCTCGCGCGGATGCGCGGGGCGGACGCCTCAGCGCCCTTGCGAGCGCCGTCTCCCGCCCTCTTTTGGTAGCCTCCGCCGGGAACTGGTTGCGAACGCCTAAAGATTCTGAAGACGTCAGCATTTTGGTGTTTCAGTCGTTCAGGCTCTATAAAGGCAAGTGGCGAGGCGCGCCGCGAGCGCGCGACGCTCTGTTCTCTGCTACCCGGAGGGGTGCAGAGTGGAGGGAGAACTGCCGTCGAAATACCTCACAAGCGTACGCACCACAAGGGACGCACGGCAAGCTGGAATTAAGCGGCGCTTAGAGGAATTGCTAATCGGGCGAACGGAGGAAGAGCGTTTCAAAAGGAGGGTGCGTGTTTTAATTTTGGCCAGCGAGATACCAGCGTGCGCATTGCCACGAAGGCCGCTGTCAGTTAGCACGCCCAAATATCTCGCTTCGCTCCGCCAAGTAGATTGCGTGCCAGCCAGCTCACCGTTTCATTGGGGTTAGCCCTCTTACGAGTGAAGTTGACGGCGACGCATTTCTCGAGGTTGAGAGCGAGGCGTTTTCCGACTTAGCCCAATCAGGAAATGCGGCGAGGACAATCACTTAAGTATTTAACTGACTGCCTTCCGTTCGCCGATTTCGCGTAGTACGCGAAATCATCCGCCGAAACATCAGGACCCGCAGCGTTGAATACCAGTTCTTGTTTCAGCAGAAGCGGCGCGTCATTCACGATATATTCGATGAGGTAGAGAAAAAACCACTCCCTGAGGCACGCCTGCCTCGGCTCGTCTGAGGGACGATATTACGTTATTGGACGCCCGCACTTTGAAACTTGCCTGGTCAGAGGAAACTCGCGATCAGTCTGACGAGCAATCGCTCACTCCCCGCCCCGCAAGGCACTAGAGCAAACCCGCATGTCACAAGAGTCGAAAGCCGACCGCATATCCAGAAAGACCACTGGCAGGTTCTGCCGTCTCCTCGAGGCCGGGGCCGATCTCCGTGCCAAAGCCGGCGTAAGCTGCTGCGCGCGGCAGCTGTGACCAGCCGAAAGCCAAATTGTTCATCCTGAGAAGATTGAGACGCCACTTATTCCTGTTGCAAACGTGACGCAGGATCAGTCTCTCAAAACGTTTTCCCTAGGATGGAGTTAAATGCGCCGTGATGGTCAGCGCTCGTGTTTATATTCAAGTCTAGGCCATGTTGCTATTGGGCTGACGACAGAATTGGCAAAGCTGCTGAAGCGCTTCCAGGTCAGAACCACTTCAAAGCCCACGAGAAGCTCCAGCCAAACTTTGAATGTCGCGTCAAAGAGGTACCACCACTCCAAACAGCGGGAGTGTACGCGGTACCTTGCAGCTGCGCGCCGCAACTACATCGGCGAGACCGGCAGACGGTGGAGAAAGGGCTGCTGACACCATCCGGACATTCAAACAGGGAATATCGAACCGCTCGGTGTCGCCCAGCATGCCTGGGAAACCCGGGCCATGATGTCGCCTTTGAAACCACCAGGGTACTCGCCAAAGAAGACCATGGTGGCCAGACGCATCAAAAGAAGCGATGGAGATCGCCAGACACCCTAACAATTCAACGGCGACGCAGGGTTGCGACTTCACGATGCTTGGAAGCCGTTACTTCGGGCACGCGACCACGTGCTCCACAGAACCGGACCGCTTCCATGCAGTCCGACTCCATGGCCGCGCCATGCGGGCCAATCGCGGACCGGCTCGCGCAAGTCCGATCCGCGGCCATCCTACCCGCCCTGAGGACCTTTCCGCGCCGTTTCGCACGCGCCAACCCGTTTGACCCCCCCCGCTGGCTAACTGCGGCCCCGATTGCCCGCTGCCTTGCAGCAATAGCACACGGCCTAGACTTGAATATAACAACGAGCCGCTGACCCTCACGGCGCATTACCACACTGAGGAAAGAACCACGACAGGATGGTCGAAACGTCCGGCAACTCAGCCTTCGAACGCCGGCGTCACCCGGACAGCCCAGGATCACCACATGACTTGTGGCGCGGAAGCCTACGACTCAATCATCTGTTGTGTGCATCAAACGTTTTCGTGAATGTGATATTTCACGAAATGAAAAGTACAATGATGCATGTGGGGAATGGAAGGAAAGACCCAGAAGTAAATTGGAGTTGGTTTCTGG